AGATGAATCTCATCTCTCCTGGCAGTGTCTTTGGCTGAGGACCCCCAAGAAACACAGTGTCAACCTGTTTGACTTATGGAAATCGACCCGCAACCTTCAGATCCCCTCGGATTCTTGCATGCCTTGGAAGCGAGCCACTGGGTCACCGGGACGTAAGTGGTCCTGATCCCCTAAACTCTATAAATATCACGAAAGGTAGCCCTTTAAGGGGTACCTTGAGTTTGTCTTGCGAAGCAAGTGTCGGCTCTTCCGGGTCGAATAATTGATCGCTCAATTCAACCCCCCCCTTGGAATTGATTTTTCAATAGGCCCCCCCCCCGCCCCCTTGGAATTGATTTCTCAATACAGACCCCTCCCCCCCTCCCCCCCACAAAATCAATTCCCCCGTCGGTACACGTCTTCGTGAGTGATCCTTTTTCATAGAAACCGTTTGGTATGCGTTCGCGCCTCTCGCGTTCGCTTCTCTTCCCGCTCTCCTACCTTTCGTGTCTCCCTCCTCTCAAGTAGACGTTGTTCATCGCTTGGCGCTTGTTTTTGGCGTTACTTGATGTTGGTTGTACCTACTTGTACATATATTGGTTTTTGGTGGAACGGGACTTCGGTGGTGTTCTTCCTTCTAAATTCTAAATGGAGCAATCTGTAGACTGTTGACTAAAACCTTCCGTATGAGGTGGGCTTTATCAGTGAACCGTCAACATTGGAGCTTACTCCACTTCAGCTGCGGTCATCTCTCGGCCTCCAAGGAGAGAAGGTATTTCCACTTCCGCCAAAGGAGCCAGAGGCTCCTGAGAATGGGCTGGGGAGCAGCAGTCAAACACAGTCAAATCATGTTGAAACCGTGTTATTTTGGATAGATATGGCCAGATTAGGACCAGGATAGGTGATAAGTGATAGGTGTTGTTGTGTATGTCACCAAGCGAATTGAGGGGAAAAAGAGAGTGGGACGCTACCAGGCCCCCCCAAATACGTGGTTTTCAGATATGATTTATAAGATTGTTTACAGGTCTTATTAAAATATGTTATGTTGTATGTTGACGACGTAATATCATTGGTATAGTTACAAGTAGTTCTAGTTCTTGATATTGTTTAGCTTTTGTTCATCCTCTTCTGTGTTCAGCCTCTTATTTACTTTCAGCAATGCCCAAACATATTGTCAATCATTGCATCAGCATATTGTTTCATAATCTTGGTATTTGCCAGCTCATGAACTGATTTTAGTTGTTTGGTGTCACGTGTGGCAAAAAAAAAAAAAACTATTGTTCAACAAACTATTTGGCCTTCCAATATACACTCATGTGCTAAAAATTATACCAAACATATTGTATATTGGCATGGCATCACTGTCAAATTCGTGTAATAACCTATTAGTAGGGCATACAACTAATACTAATACTGTGTAACCTTTATCAACCATATTCTGGCAGATATGACTCTTGTTTGCTCCTGCAAGTAATATCCTAATCATTACCTGGTTCGCTTTCTCAACTTTACAAACAATATCATCAGCATCAGTATCATACTCATCATTTTGAATTTCTCTATCTTTAGATGTTTTTATTTCTACAGTTTGATTTTCTACAACGTGGTAAAGTTCATTAGGTAATTTAATATCCACATACTTGCCCACTCTCCAGCAAAGCCACTCCCTTGGGTTCTTTTCATCTTCAGCCTTGATGGTGAAAGTATCAATCTTAACACACTATACTGTAATACCAGCATGCTTCAGTTTTAAGTAGGTTTTATACATTCCAAAACTGGTGCTGCAAAAGAAGCTCTTTGTCATTACCTATTTGTCAGCTCCTGAAGTGGTTTTAGTGTTTTGGTATCACTTGTTGCAAAAAGATATTGCTCAACAAACTATGTGGTTTTCCAATAAACACTTAAACCGATGAAATGGATTTGATCGATTGCTATGACATCAAGTTCTGAATAGCTAAATGGTTCCATTTTGACATCACCAAAAGGTATACCAAAAATATTGTTTATTGGTATGGCATCACCTTCAAATTAGTGTGATAACCTATTACACTGGCCAGATGAAAGTTGCGCTTGTTGATGTTGAAACTCATGACAACCCTATCCCCCTAGAATCCTACACCATGAGACAAGGGAAGGTGTGGGCGGTCATTTGTCACCCCGGAAAGCCTATTATAGTTAATTTAAAATTAAGGGTGTGATAATTGACCGTCCCACACCTGCCACGAAAATTATATAGACTTGTTAATTCGATCCGCCGCTGACCTCAGAGTGTTTTGTAAGAAGGCTAACAAGCGTAAACTTTTGTCTGCCTGAAGTAGTAGGACATACAAATAATATTGTGTAATTGTCAAACCATTATCAACCATTTCTGGCATATATGACTATTGCTTACTCCTGCAAGTAATATCCTAATCATTGCCTGGTTCACTTTCTCAATTTTACTATCAATATCATCAGTATCAATGTCATACTCATCATTTTGAATTTCTCTATCTTTAGATGTTTTTATTTCTACGGGTTGATTTGCTACAACGTGGTAAAGTTCATTAGGTAATTTAATATCCACATACTTGCTCACTCTCCAGCCTCCAATCTTATTGGTAAAGGCCTCTCACTTGGGTTCTTTTCATCTTCAGCCTTGATGGTGAAAGCATCAATCTTAATACACTATACTGTAATACCAGCATGCTTCAGTTTTAAGTAGGTTTTATACATTAAACAATTGTGAAAATTAGGTTCAAAAGTAAAACACATTTTTCACTCTGCTCTACTAGACTTGGCTGAAGGCTCTCTTCTTTCTTGGGAGGAGGGTCGACCGAAAAAAATATTTAACACTATCCAACTCTCCTGTATTTGCTGGAGTTTCTTTCTTGGGAGAGGGGTCGACCGAAAAAAAACAAAATGGGTCGATCCTCCCTCCCAGCCTTTTCTACAGGCTCCTAATCTGGAGGGGGGGTCGATCAAAAAAAAGAAAAACATAGATGAAAAATAAATTAGTCCTTTTTGGCGACCCCCCTTCCAGCCTTTTCCACAGGCTCCTAATCTGGAGGGGGGGTCGACCCAAAAAAGAAATGTCCCAGCCTTTGCCAAATGCTCCAAGTTTGCTACACCTTATGGATTTGTTTATTAGATAATTCTGATTGTTCTTAGAGAGACAGCGTCCCTTGCGTCTTTTTCTATCGATCCAGCTTCTACTTTTGTACACTTTGCTAGATGCTTTTCGATTAAGATCAGGCCAACAAAAGAATTGCTAACATCACTATCTAGTTGCTGTATATAAAGGAAAACACTATTCATGTTTATATATAATATCATTCCCAGAAACGTTTATTTTTGGGGGCCTGACAGCGTCCCTTTCCGGAGAAAAAGGGGGAGGGAGTCAGAGGGAGACACCTTTCTGTGAGATCTTTTGGACTCAGGTATCTCGTATCATCATCGGCCAAATGAGCTGTTGGTTGAAGGTGGTTGAAAAGCAACACGCGTCTCTTTCAGGAGGTCTGGCAGGTGAGTCAGAACTGAGGTGGACACAAGTTTGGATCTCAGGAATCTGTGATCTGTGATCTAGCCAAGGAAGCTGCTATTGCTGATCCAAAATCATTCCAAAATCCAATCTTTCATGGGGCGAACTCGGGTTGGGAAAAGATTGTACATCGGAGATACTTGCATGCTGAATGCACATTAAATTAAGACCTCACATGCTTTGAACACCCTGTGCTTCAGAAGATACCCTTGGCATGCTGAGCTCATTTGTATCGGGAAGACAGATAATATTAAGCACAGAAATCGGAGTAAATTTGACAACAGGCGAAAATGGCCCTGTCTCTTCTGTGAATAGACTGCACCCACACTTCATGGAAATACCATGGCTTTGATTTGCCTTGGGGGAACATGTCCCAAAAGAACACATGTCACCATGTGTCTTTTAAACAGGGCGACGCCCTGCAATAAGACTAATAGAAAACGGAGAACGGCGAGAATGCACTCCTTAAACACTCGTGGCAATAGAAGTCTTCAGCAAATCACGCTCCCCCCACCAACACCCATCCATTTGTATGCTGGTGTCTTGTACTCAACTCTGACATGTGGACGCGTAGACACGTTAACATGTTGTCGCGCTGATATGGTGGCATTGCCGCATGGCCTCAGGCCGACACTTTGTCAGGCTGTCGTGCGGACAGTTGTCATGCTGGCACGCTGGCATGGGTTACGTATTGGGCGCATGTGCTATGCTGCTATGCTATGCTGGCATATTGCTTATTGGGGTGCTCGCATGGTACATTGAAAAGGTTCACGTGTTTCAACACCGCATTGCCTTGCAAAGACAGCACTTATTGGTGAACTTCTGATGCTGCCATTGCCTAATAAGATCTAATCTAATAAGTAGGTTGCGCAGCTGTTGGTGGGAAGCGTTCAACCACTTGGTCAAAAAGTCGAGGTGCCCCATTCCAACGGTGTAGGTGAATTGAGGTTTGTTTTCACATGAACTCCTGCACTACCAACACAAACAATTGGAATATGCGTTTGCCCACCTCTCAAATGTACATCCATGGAGAACAGCTTCTTGTTGCAGTGGTGCGTGTCCCATCATGTAAGGCAAGGTATATGAGAGTCACATGGCACATTGTTCACACTTCCAAGGAGAAACTGCCGAGCTGGCAGTTGCGCAACAACCTGTACATCTTGCTGTCAGGTGAATGTGAGGACAGAAACTTGAACATGTTATTGACGAGCCACTGCTTCTAAGAGGATGGTGCACAGCGCACAGATATACAACTACTTAGTTTCCTGTGAAAGAGGTTCCTGTGCTGGAAAATGAATGCGGTACATTTTCAAGCAGGCAGCTAAACAGTGGTCGTTGGCAAAGTTAGATGGTCAATTACCGGTGCGCAGCTGCAAGAGGCAGGACATGGACCCGATTACTTATGTCATCGTTTAGCCAAGATGTCAAGTCAAACCGCAAGCTTAATGTGGCTCGAAATGGTCTATAGTCTAGCTCCCATGCTATTGGCAGCCCTCGGGTAATGCCTCTAAATTGCAACTTTGCAGAAGCTTTGTGCTTGGGCATCAATGACTATCAGAATGAGACACCACTGCGGAAAGCAGTGAGCGATGCTGAAAACATTGCTGCCGTGTTCCGAGACTTGGGATGTTGCAATACAGTCTTAGAGACAGAAAATCTGACCAAGCAAAAGATTGAGGAACTGGTGTTTGATTTCGTTGAGCGGACAAAGGGCCATCTTTGGAAGGCGGCGCAGCCTGATGCCGTTGGTGCAGCAACGCCCGCGCCGGAAGGAAGTGCTGAAGCAGCGGCACAAGTAGATGCTGCTGCAGTTGCAAAGCCTGATGCTGCTAGCGTACCAAGTGAAGGTGCAAAGACCGAGGCTGGTCAGAGTGAAGTTGCAAGTGTTGTTGGTGACGGCGACTTGATGGATCTGCTAGTGGTGTTTTCTGTGGCATCCCACGGTATTTTTGCGGTGGGCAAAGACTTGCCATCGATTCCATTGATTATGCCAGCAGACCTCACTTGCAGCTCCGAACCAGACGAGTTGATTGACCTAAACATGCTTTTGGTGAAGGGGCTTGCACAGCTAAACCCTCCAGTAAACTACACCTTATACGTTTGGATAATTCTGGATACTTGCCGGTCAGGCGCTGCCACTCTTTGGCAGCCTCCATCGAGTTGCAACACTGGTCAACAAGCTGAGGTTGCGGGCTCTCGTGGGCCAGAAGTTCCCAAGACCAAACGCACTCCAGTCTCGCCAGATTTCCTATATCTATTAGCATGTGACCCTGGTGGCTCAGCGTCGGATGTCAAGAGTCTGACCTCATTCCTGGCGATTACTTTGCCGAAAGATGGCATCAGCATCAAGGATGCGTGCGAGGAGGCCGGGCAGAGGGTGAAAGAGTTACGCCCTGGCCAGAGGCCTTGGACGCACCAGCGATTAGGAATGGGATTCTCCAAGATTAGGAACATTTGTCCTCCGCCCCAGCTGAGATGTATTGGCAAGGAAACAGCTGAGGACAAGGACCTAGATCCGGCGCAAACGACCTCTGGCACAGGCCAGAGCATAGCCTCTTCTTCATTGTCAGAGACTCAAACATCATCCCCTACCAAGCCCCAGCTCGGACCCGTTGAGCAGGACGAAGAAGCGGGTGTTGAGCAGGGTGAAGTGGAAGGACCTGTTGAGCATGATGAAGAGGTTGAGCTTCTTGTTCGTTGTCGAGACGATCTTTCTCATTTCGCTGCCCTGCTTTCTCGTTTCGCTGCCCTGCTTTATCGTTCTCCATTCACTGTAGCTGGGTTCGGATTCCTGTTAGCTTTGCTGGTCAATGACCTGTTCAAGAACCAGTTCGGCGAGATGATTTTTGCTCACTTCGACCAGACTTACCAAAGTTCCATAAGCTTCAAATGCGAGCGTTCTGGTTATCAAGAACTGTTTTTGGACATGGCCAAGATTGTTTTGACCTGGTTCATCTCCCAAAAGTCCTGGTTCAGGGTGCTGCGGAAAGACGGCGATAGAGCAACCTCACTCGACTATTTGGTCGTTGTTGTTTCAGTTTTTAGCGTGCTCACTTCCATCCAGCGTGGGCAAGATTGTTCTAGATTGATTGCCCGGATTGCTTATTTGTATGGAGTTCTCAACATGACATTACTTGCAGCTTCAATCTTGATTCTGATGCTTATCCATGAGGAGTTCCGGGATGTCTTTGCTCCAGCTTTCTTGATCGCATTCCTTGCGACTGCACTTTTGCCGGGAGCTTCGAGATTTGGAAGGAATGACATGCATCAACTGCATCAATTACAATCACAAGCAACATTCCTCCGGACTGCACATTTGGCAACTCGGAGATTTAGAATGAATGAAATGCATCAACCGCATCAATTACGGCCACATCAACTACAAGACTTAAAATATGCCATGCTGTCCTACACGCTCCATGTCTTGGCTGGAGCCATATTGGCCGTGATTGGCGTCGCCAAAACAGGATGGCACAGCAGGGAAGAAGTCGCCAAGAAGTCACGTCATTTACTCTACGTCTCTCTCTTTTGGATGCTTGTGTGTTGGCTTTGTGGGACAGACGCATTGAAAGAATACAATTTGGCCAGAGCCACTCTACAGAGGTTGTGCAACCTCTGGAAGATGCATTTGATGGTGCGGTTTTCTGATCACAGCATTCAGCGTAGAAGACGGAAGGTCAGATTTGGATTGTGCGAGGTAGAAGGAGTCTGAGTACACAGGCTGCACGATCCGAGGCTAGGCACCTTAGACGAAATGAGTTCGAGGAGCTTGAGCTTCGGCAAAAGCAGTCCGGCAGTTCGACATGGAGGCTCGGCACCCAGGGACCATGCTGAAGTTCCTTGTAATTATCCTATTTGCCATCATATTCTTTCGTGTTTATAGAGAGGGGCCCAAACTCAGTCACGGTCTTGCAGAGCTGCAGGATGTGAATCCGCCGAGCTGTTCTGCTGAACTGTGAGGAGATGGACAAGGCGCGCGAAAGAGGGAACTCCTTACCTGCTGCGTAGTCTGTAGGCAGAGGCACTTACTGTACATGAGTCGTTTAAGTAGACATCGGTACCATCTCGGCAGACGGCAGGCAGACTGGTCCCGGTTTTTCAGATGCGAAGGAATACGCGGTCGCCACGGAAGGGTGGTCGCCGCGCTTAGTACGTTCTTAAACGTTTGTTAAATACATCTTTAGCATCACTTGTTGTAAGAGGGCTTACTGACTTCTATATACATATCTTATAGCCAGGGGAGTGTGGGAATTTCCTTCTAGGCTATTGAACTGGTTGAAGGGACCCCAAAAGCACAAATTTGTTGGTTGTCAGCTGAGCCCATAGGTGCCATAACTAGATCACTTCTGCTACCACATCAACAACACAACGGATGTTTTTGGCTGCCAAATCACTTCCGGCTGAGGTGTGACTCACGGCTGGTGTGCTCGGCTTGGGCGCTTGGCTCGGGAAGAGGGGGGTGTTTTGGGGATGTTGGATGTCATGGCAAAGTTGGGACGCTGATCACAAGAAAAACAAAGACCCCTCCCCAGTTCTGAACTGACGGTCCCATTTCAGTAATTATTAGTAATTAGTAGTGTAATTGGTATAAAGTCTAAAAATTATTGTAAATAGATGTAAATAGATGTTTTGAGCGAAGAGCCCTTTGCATCCGTTGTCATCCGGTTGCATTCATGAAACCTTATGGGCTTGTTTGTTTGGTGCCAGTCACCACCTACTCCAATTCTCCTAACCCCACTGCGCTGTATCAGACCCGGAAACATGACGCTTGGAATCGTTTAACCAGCTGCGCTAGAAGTCGTGAGGTGTTCATTATGATCAGCGCAAGCAGTCAAGAGACGCACTCGAAGGAACTGAGGAGGAACAGCAAAAGAACTTTCATAGGCTATCATAGGACGGACCCCTGGCAGAATGATGACTGACAAACAGGTGGTCCTTTTTTGTGCCCGTCCATCCTCCAGTTGGTGCCAGGGTGCTTTTGAAGATGCTGCCAAATGAACTGACCAGGGCAAGTGTGTGTGTGATTAACTATGATTAACTCGTGTCGAACCTTGGGAACTTTTACCTACCATGGCTTCGGTGAAGGAGATCACAGAGCCTTGAATCATCCCTTCCATGCTAGGCCAGCACATGCTAGGCCAGCAACCCCACAAGACGGGGTAGGATCCCTTGACAAACCCCGTCAATCTCTTCATGTCCAGTCCACTGCCGGGAAGTGATTGACGACCCGAACGATTTCCATCCCAAGAAAGAACACCTTCATGAACACCTTCATCGATTGCGCCGAAGAGACAAGATAGACGGAATCGTCTCCGAGATCTCTCTCAGTTGCCAAGCTCCGAAGATGCCGCTCCTTGCGATCCCTGATTTCAATTGATTTCAACTCCGCCGTCTTGCTCATGATATGAGCAAAACGTACGAGTGAGACCTGTCTCGTGGTCCCAGGTGGGACGATGACCTCGGCCGTGAGGCGCCAGGACCTCGCCCGAGAGCGGTCGGAGCGGTGGCCGACGCGCAGCCTGCCTATGGCTGGTCGGCCACGAAGTATTGGACGGGGCGATTGGTTTGAGGTGGTGAAGGAGGTTGAGACAGGGTGGAACAGAAAAGATCCTTTACTAAGGTTCACAGCGGTTGAGAGGGGGGGATCATAGAGTTTCAAATCCGCCCGCACCGAAGGTGCCAAGGCGGTTTTAAGAGGCACGCACTATACCGCAAGTACCGCAAGTACCATTAGCTTTAGCTAGGGGGGGGCATTTTCGCTCTAGAACCCTGTGTTTTTTCACGTTTTTGGAACCGGCTTAAAGTGCTGGAAGATAAATTCGTGCTAATTGTTGCTATCTTGAAGCCCCTAGTGATGCAAGAAATGCAATTTTCTGCTTTGCATCATCTGAATCATCTGAGCGGTAACGTGTAATTGGACTGAGGCCGGACATTTGGCTGAACAGGTTCCCCTAACGGGGCTCAACATAGCTTCCATATTGCGTAACATAGCCCTAGAAGTCACTATCTAACGGACGTGTCTGCGAGAGAGGGACTTGAACGTCCGGGTACGTGGCTGGTCAGGAGCAGAGATAAGGAAAGATAAGGTCCAGGAATGGTGGTCAGGAGCAGAGATAAGGAAAGATAAGGTCCAGGAATGGTAACATTTTCTTACGAGCATAGCTTCCATATGATCGAAAATAGCCCCCCGAAGGCACTATCTCAAGCATGTTTTCTCGAGATAGGGACCCGAACGTCGCAAACACCCTCTCCACTTCCATATTGCCTAACATCTATTTGGCTCCACAGGAGCAGAGATAAGCAGATCAGGTCCAGGAACGGTAACATGTTCTCACGAGCATAGCTCCCATATGGTCGAACATAACCCCAGTATCTCAAGTATGCTTCGCCGAGATAGGTACTTGAACGTCGTAAACATGGCCCAACGAAGGCTCAAAAGGGACTGGAATAGCGTGAAGATATTGCCTAACATAGCCCTAGAAGTCACTATCTAAAGGACGCGTCTGCGAGATAGGGACTTGAACGTCGTAAACTGGAATAAAACCCCCCCTAACGTGGCCAAACATAGCTTCCATATTGCCTGACATAGCTTTAGAAGTGATATTTGGCTCCACAGGAGCAGAGATAAGCAGAGATCACGTCCAGGAACGGTAACATTTTCGCACGAGCAGAGCGTGCATATGATCGAACATAGCCCCAGAAGTCGCTATCTCAAGCATGCTTCCTCGAGATAGGGACTTCAACGTCGTAAACATGGCCCAACGAGGGCTCAAAAGGGAATGGAAAAAAATATTACATTTTTTCCTCGGGCTGTTCTCTTACAAAATTATGGTTTTCCTAGCATGTTCTGTGGAGCTTTGCGGTCAATGTTTTCTTCAAAAACATGTGTTTTCCGGTTGTTTGTGTTTTTTGCCTCCAAAAACCACCTCATTTTTTTAACGTTTGTCAATAATAGGATTCGTTTTTGATGGTTCTTCCGAGTTCCGCTTCGAACAAACTACAGTAAATGATGTTTTTTCAACATCATCGTCAACAAAAAACAATCCGAACATTCGTCATATAAATGACACGGTATCGTCAAACATTGTTTTTCCTGGAACAAACTAAAAATTAGCAAAGCTATTTATACAAGGTTTGTATCTTCCAAAAGAGGCAAAGGAGGTTTAAAAAAAAAAAAGTTTTTTGACTTTGTGGGTCACAGATTCTTACGGTAGATGTGCAAATGTAAAGCAGCATCGTTCCATTGAAGGAGGTTTATTTTGAAGGGTCCATAGCTTTACACATTTCTAGGTGGTTCTGAATGTTTAAACTGAAGAGATTTGTGTGAGAGAGGGTTTTGTATGGTTTTGTATCCTTGAACTGTTGAATGCGTGCTGCAAAAAAACAACTGCAGCGTGCTGATGAGAATTTTACTGCAGGTGGCCCAGCCCAGTATAGGCGTTCAAATTTTCCATCAAAAACCCTAGAGTTGTACAATTTCATACAATTCAACCAATCCTTTGTTTTGGTCAATCTCGCTGCAGCGCCCTCACCTGACAAGAACTGAATCCTCATTTCAGGGGACCGATAGCTGAAGGTGTTCTTCGTTTCAGGTTCGACCGTTTGAATATGTAGGACTCGGACTCCCTCTTTATGTTTGCAACGTGTTGTATGGCCTCTAAGGGTCATGTCGCGCCACGCAGTCTCGACATGTCTCGACCTGAGTTGGCACAACGAAACGTGGTGAACGCACAACTGGCAGAAAGAGTCGTGCAGGTCCATTCAACTGTTGGGGATGTTTGGTTACTTAAACGTCGATTTTTTTCTTTTGTGAAATTGTGAGACAGACCAAACATTCGTGGAGTTGATTGGATTTCGTGCAGGAGTGTTCTTGTTTTGAGCGAGCTGTAGTCACTGTAGTCTCTTGAGAATGCTGCTAGAATATGCAGATTTCAGGGCTGGGCATGGCTGGGCATCGCTTTTCACCGGAGCATGTTTGGCTATTTCCAGCTCACATATAGAAACAGATTGCGCATAGTTTAGCCATAGCGCAGTCCCAAGTCCCCGGTCTCCGTTGGTGCCATGTTGGGCTCGTATACAGACCCCGAGAGTGGTGATGAAGTCTTGATCTCGGCAGATAGTCGAGGCTTCCAATGGATCAATGCAACAGCCGATGAGAGGCTCAGCTTCGAGTTCCACCCAGAAGACTTCAAGTTAATTCCTGCAGAAGGGAGTGGTCATGAGATTGAGATCACCTTCGAAACCGATGATGATGGTTTTGTCTCCGCCGCCCTGCGTGGGGAGAAACGCTACGAACGTCTGGTGGGCAGTATGGAGATGAAGGTGCGGGAAGGTCCTGTGCATCTATCTCTCCCAGAGGTCACCCGGAAAAGTGGGACCAATATCCATGCGTTCATGTGCAATCTCCTGGAAGATCCCTCCGACTGGCGTGACTTCAGCGTCTTACTGCTGATAGCCACCAATGCACACTTGAACTCGGGCATTCCATGTGTCATTGTAGATGATACCTCGCCAGCTGATGATGATGCCATTCAGAATCTTTTGGATCGATTGCAGCCCAACCAAGTGACAGTTTTCCGCAGCGAGGACGAGGAGAGGGATTTCGTTGGAGGAAAGCCAGGGGCAGGGCAGATGGACCAAGCTTCACATGTTTGTTCACAACAGTTGGATGAAGACCAGTGCCCCATCCACCACTAGCTTCTACTAAGTTTATAGCATCATATATGGGGGCCTTCTCTCACATGGTGCAGAACCCGACCTGCTCTCCGCATTCTCCAGGAGGCGCAAGGCCAGATCGAAGGGAATGAGACAGCGATAGTCACCGAACGCACGTGCAATGGCCTGGCCGCGGTGAATGACTTCGTGGCGGCCACTTGGGCCAAGGAGATCCAAAAAGCTGTCGTCGTCTCCAATGGGGACTATGCTTTGGCCCTACTGGCCACCAGTTTGGCCTGCCTACTTGATGCACCGCTGTTCGTGACAGAAGGTCCAGTGGCTGAGGCAGATTTGGGCAAGCTGATGCCGGACCTGGGAAGCTATCCCGTGATCGTTCTGGGAGAGCAAATTGAGCTTGATGCCGACGTCACCTCTTTGGCCGATGTGGCCGCTGTGACGGGTTACGTCAAGGACTCGGGGATCAGCATCAAGTACCTCGCTGTGACCAACCCTTCTGACCGTGCGACCCGGAAGCTGTCTTTGACCGCTCCGATCTATGCTGCTGTACACGGTGGCTTAGTGCTACCATTGAAAGATGTGGCAATTCAGAAGCCAGCTCCACTAGATGGAGAGCCTTTGATGAAAGTCAAAGAGCAGCTTGAGAAGGCCTACCAGGTCTTAGGCCAGCCTCGATGGTTGGCACTGGTTGGAAGTCCTCAAGCTGTCCCAGCGTGTAAAACCACTGAAGATGTGAATAACTCCAAAGAGTATGCTGTCACGGATTACCCCTATGCCACAGCCAAATTCAACTTAGATGATGCTCACGAGATTGCAGTGGGCCGTTGCTTTACGGACTCTTCCACTGCTGCCTTCCTCCTGGCCACACGTTCCGCCAACTTCGTGGCCTTGAAGAGTGATGGCGATTGGCGGAGCAAGATCGTTGATGCTGGGCTTTGGGGATTTCCGGAAATCCGGCAGCTCTTCTTCAACTCAGGCCTCGGAGTAGAATGGGTAATGCTTGGGAACAACATGGAACAACCATTCTGCGGGTCGTGTGAAGGCGCTTGTTTTAAACTGATGTTCTTTTCTAAGCGTGCTGCAGGCTTCACCCTTGCCAGTTGTCAGAAGGGTGACATACAGCCCTTGCATCAAAAAGACTTCGAAGAAGACAACAAGACCATTGAGGCAGCAGCTGTATTGCACAAGGATCACTCTTGGTGGGGCGGACTTGGACAATGTGTCGGCAGGTGGGATTATGAAGACAGTCGCTCAAAACCAGACGAATGAAGAAAACCACAGCTTTTCCCCACAACCCCACCTAATAGAAAAAAGTCTTCATAAGTCTTCATTGGCATTTCTGGGTGTTAGCATGACCATGGTAGGAACACCAATGCCATGCTGGCACCTTGCGTGATGGTGTCCTTGGGTTGCCATGCTGCCGGGATCGATGAGGGCGTCCCCAGTTGCGCCTCGCGACTCCTGGCGCGTGGCGCAGTCTGCTTCACTGGCGCTGCTCGCTGCCCCACGGCCATCGCCACCCTGTGGAGTGTGGCCTTCTTCAACGAGCTGCTTTGCAGTGGATCTTCGGTGGGAGAAGCGAACAGGGAAGCGCACAACAAGTTCATGGCACATCACCTGAAAGGCATCCGGGTGCTCAGTTTGAGTTGTTAAATGTCCAATGTTGCAGGGCTGTCCGGGATCTCCCCTACCCATATGTGTTTCGTATCATATAATCATATGTTCATATATATATATATCATATGATGAATTATATGTCAAAACCACAGCTTTCCAACTCAAATCTTCGCAGCCAAATCCGGAAGAAAAACACGCACATTCTATCACATTCACATACATTCACATGCACATGAACTCTTGTGACGTCCCACCGTTTTTGGAGGCATCAACTTGGGCAAATACACGTTGGTGAATCGCTTCACCTTGGGTGATCCCGCCTTACGTCCCTTTCCCAACGTTTCGATGGACATCACGCCTGCTCGGCATAGCTTCGGGCCGGGTGGAAGCGTCACAGTCTTTGGGCCTTCGTCCTGGAAGATGGTGGAAGTTCATCAGGATCAACTCAAGGAGGGGATGAAAAGCGTTGGCGACGGTGATAGGATGTGATAGGGATTGTTTGAAACGGGATTGTTCTAGCGTGGTATGAATTCTGATATTACCTAGATACACCTGGTCACATTAATGTATTTGGGGGGGAGTACTGCAAAAAGAATATCTACATTTCCTCGGTGTTGTGATTTTTTGTGCCCCGGAAATATGATGTTGTGATACACTGTTTGTTTGTTGGTAGATGATCTGATGATATTTGATGACTATGGAAGTGCCCGGGCCCAACCCCCTTTCATACAATTCCGTTACAAATGTGTGCTTCCTGGTGGCAGTTTCTCCTCCCTTGCTTTCATACATGATTAAGAACATTTAAGAAATTAACCTTCTGAGATTTCCTGAGAATTGCCACGATTGGCTTCACTGCACTTTCCCCATGACTTCCTAAGAATTGTTCAACCCCATGGCTTCATACAATTTGCTCTAGGGCTGCTGGAGTTTCCTGGGATGGCCTGTGGCATTGCAGACCCCCCCCAGCAATACAAAACAACCTGGGCCACGCATGTTCTCCCCAGAAGCTTTGTCGATAAACCGATTCTGTGATGTCCCTAATGTCCCTTTCCCTTTTGCACACATGTCTGCAAGTTCTGCCCTGCCGAACACGAGCTATGAGATGATTTGATCCATCTCCGCGACCAAAACCACAGCGATCGGGCGATCGAAGTCCTCCCTCCTGCGAAGGAGGCGTCCTGCATGCCGTGCGATCGGTTGAGCCCCTCCACATCTCTAGGCCGCAACAGAGCACCCTCCCTCCCGCCCCGCTCGCAACTACGCAACAAAGACAAAACACGGCTATTCACAGGTTCGGCGAGTCTTTTGGCTCCAGACTCCCTATCAAGACCACGTCCGTCCGTGCCGCTGTGCCGCTCACATTCATCGTCCTAGACCGGGGTCGGCAGATTTGCAAGATGTTGAGCCTTTACCGAGGCCTTAGCTAGCTGCTTTCAACATGTTTGATGATTGTTTTTTTGGAAGCAAAGACATGTTTGGTCACTTTAGTCTTTGGTTTAGTTTTTGTGTTTTGTGCTGGATGCCGCTTGTTGCAGGCAGGGCTTTTGTCGGAGTGTGATTTGATCACAAGCGTGTCAAAGGAGACCGTCCCACCATTGTTACTGTAATGTAGCATTAACCCAAAGGAGGTGCATGGACTGAGGGTTGCTGAGCGATTGATTAGTTGCAGGAGTGGAAATACGATGGAAAGCTCTTTGATCCAGTGGCACTGGGTTGTGCTCCAGAAGCTGGGTGGTGTGGAGGTGGCTATGATAAACAGGAAGCATTTTATCAGCTCGCTATCAAGGTTCCAGCCAAGACCAAAGGTGCTGTGCTCACGAGCCTTGTCCTCGACAATGATGGAGAGGAGGTCAAGGCTGAGGACAAATCAAGTGACGTTGATCCTGTTTGTGGACAGTATGAGTGTTCCCAGTATGTGGACAATGGCAATGCCAACGATTGGCATTATGTCACAGTGACGAAAGATGAGAATGGCTACAGGTGGACCAACAAGGCAGGAGTATCATGGGGTCTTGATGAAAAGACCTTGGACATTTGTGAGGATTGTCCATACCATTCACAAGGTCGACATAACAACCCAAAACGAAATGCGTTCGGCATTGTAACGTCCATGAACTTTGGCGGTGAACACTACAATCGCGCAGACTACCATGGCTGTCCAGAGCTGGGTGCTGCCAAGAAGAAGGTGTGGTCCGGCGAACCGCAAGGGCTTCAGGAGTTGAGTGATGGGAAGAAGTTGTTGTTAGTTCCAGTGAAAATGATGGAATGCAGCCAGCAAGAAGGCACGATTCAATCCTTTCTCAAGAGCATCACTTTGCGAGTCCTCGTTGATGATGATGAGGAGGTGGATTTGCAGGTACTGAATCAGGATTTGGCGCCGGCACAACGAGGAGGTGGCCGTGGCGCGGCCATGGCACGACAGAACCGAGGAGACAACGAAGCCGAGGAATGAAATGTGAGAATCATTTTCATAGAGGGGAAGGCGGTGCCACCCCGCCACAATTTAATTACATGTTGTTTTCGCTCACTAGCTCAAGCTCACAACTTTATTGCAATGATGCAGGACATGAGGGGAACATCTATATAATATAACACCATATAGCGACTTGTGAAATCCATGAAGCAGCAAGACTGTAGTAGCGGTTTCTCTCTAGGCAATCTGGAACAACGAAGTAAATGTGCTGGCACAAACACGCAGTGCCGAAGGCATCCAACAAGTGAAGTGAGTGCCATCTTTGGTGTGTGTTGCTGGCCAAGCCAGCTGACCACGATCAAACGTCGGTTGATCTCCCAAGCGCGCGGCATGTCACCGCGCTTGCGAGAGCGGCTGCAAAAAGGCGCAAACGGCGCTCCGAAGAGGGGAGAGAACGGACTCCGAGCAAAGCAAACCTGGCATGTTTTGTAGGAGGATGGTTCGGGTCTGTACCTCGAACAAAACGGACACACGGTTGCTTCATGTTGCCTTCCTTTACCGATGTTTGCCCATGTTTGATCAGTCGGTTGGATGCAGCGGAAGTTCACGACCAGTGCGGCGGTGCGTTTTTCCCAACGTGTTTGTGATGTGCAAGGCCACGGGCCTGCAACAACTGGACAGCCATGAGGAAGATGTTTGGGTTCACAAGGAGCACAGACAGACGCACAGTCTAGGAGCTCTTCCAAACATTAGTGAGTGGTTGTGGACACCAAGAGTGGTGAATGCAACCAGACACACAAGTCCAGTCCAAGACTGCTGCCTTTGTACATCTTTGTACCAATTGTCGGCGGGCACGTAACCTGGCAGGCTGTGAACCAGGAGAAACAAAAGAAGACACGTCACATTGACTTGACAGGCCAGTTGGCATTGATATATGATTCAATATATATAACTATGACTATAACTATAACTATTATATGTTTAACTCTTGTTTGCAATCAGTGAACTCAAGGGATCAAGGAAGGGCGAGGCAGCGCCAGGACCCGATCAAGCAGGTGACGTGCTTCCAACTGAGCTCGATCTCGTCATTCCACCAAGCAGAACGGATGTCAATGTGTCGATCTTGGAGAAGCATGAAAAGAAAGCGCAAGGTGTGGTACGGTATGGTCACGATTGTTGGAAAAAAAAGCGTGTCCAAGTTACACCCACCAAAACTACGGTCAAGCAGTGCATCAAACAAAAAAAGAACCCCAGGTTGTGGGGGGGAACAGCTCTTGTTGAATGACCGCTCATGTATGTAGATTATCCGAAGTGTTCATGTCCTTTTGACCCTCGCATCATTTCGCCTCCCAATTCGATGCTATCCTTTGCTTGAATTGCCATGCCATGCCAGCGGCGGCTGGGCAGAAGAGGGAGACTTGGGAAGGAGGACCGCGGGGATGTGAGAAGCGAATGCCTTTGTGCAACAAGGATGGGTTTGTTTAGGAACATCTCAGCAAGACCCCCAACCAATGAATGAGTCACACCCGGCCTAAATGTGACGGGAAACGCAAAAACGATGAACAGGTACAACACCGGGCATTCCTTATAGAGCTCATGAGGTGTTGCAGTTTGCTGTGACCTATCAAGTGTGTGCGTGTGTTTGCGTGTCTTTGTTTTATGATGATGTAGTTCTTTAGACAAATTGATTTGCATAGGTGTTAGTTACGCCTAGCACAACAACACCAGTACGAGGCTGCCAACATGATGCAAGCGTCCTCCTATATATATACAGTTATATATACATTGACATATATAATATGGATCATTTGCCTCCCGCACACCCATTGCACACGAATTATCCCGGCAAACGAACAAGTGTGAAGGAAGAACTGGATCAACTGGAAACCCATTGTGCCAAGGCTTTACACCAGGCGAACACTTTTGGATCGTTTGTCTAGTGTCAAGTGTCCTCTTCTGTCTCCGATGCTTCACTCTTGCTGGCAACTGAGGCAGCTGCCAAGGGGACGAAGGTCTACGCCTTCCTGACATTTCACGTGAGGCCGGAGCTCTCTTGGATTCCTTCTTCACAGCTGTGGTGATGAGCATCGGTAAATGATGATGTTTCAATGACTGTGCCTTACTAAAGAGGCCGTGACTTTTTGTTTTTTGCTTCAAGATTACTTGTCATCCCATGCCATCTCTCACTGCCCCACGCCCCACATCGACAGGACGGGGCGCCTCGCGGCCTTCTGCGACGCCTGCGCCGAGCTCCTCAGCGCCTCTGCCAATGACGCGGGAAAGCTGAGGCGATCGTGGGCGATCGTTGTCCGATCCACCAAGCGGAAAACAGGTGTCACATCCGGAGGATGGGAACACATCGTCAAATTGGTCAGAGTTGAAGTCGACTGTTCTGCGAACCCGCCTACAGGGTCACTTGTTGAGGCAACATCATCAATCATGGGAGTTTAAAGATGTTTAAAGTGCTCCGTGGGTTGAAGGGTTTGAACATTTCGCAAGTTCGGGTAAGTTGTGTGGTTACAGGGTTGGTTGTTGCTTTGGGTGATGACTATTGGAAGTCAAGAATTACAGACTGGTGGACCAAAAGTAGAAGCGGTTCAAGACTAAGGGTCACTTGAAGCTCACTATGACAATGGGCGTGGAGTGTCTTTTTTTCCTAGGTCTTTTGCAAATCGCCCGAGGTGTGTTTGGAAGCGGAGAGTCGGAGAGTCAATGAAACGCCAGTCACGTCGATGGGGTCAATTGAGTTGCTGAGCAACACGAACAACGACGGCAGCAAGAAGATGAACATGAAACACAACATTGAAGCCAACTATGGTCAGGACATGTCAGGACTTCACAATATTTGGTCCCCTAAAGTCTCTTTTGATGCCAAGCAACAGAGAACATAGAGAACACATCCCTGTCGATCTTCATTGTTCTGTTTTAGTGAAAATTACAATGAGAAACCACATGAAACCACTAATCCGTGCCAACCCATCCTTCAGAGAGCACACCAGGAGATATGTCTCTCAGATTGTTTGATGTCAAGTTTTGTCTCTCAGCACCACCGCCGCTGCTAGGACCGCTAGGAGGCTAGGTTGTTTATATTTGTTTATGGTCATTCAATTCCACCATATTCCCACCGGTTGAGCCTTTTCAACCACGAATTGAACCGCTGTTACATACGCTTTGAACTACGTGCTCCTCTCATTTCGGATGACGTCCGTCCGTGTCCTGCCGTGGGATCGCCAGGATCGCTTTGCATCGAGAGCTGCCGTGGGCCCGCTCCATCTCCAACGAGGAGCGCGACGCTCCGGGCTCGATGGGGCGCTTTTAGCGCTCAACAGGAGATCTCGCATGTACAGATGCACACCATGTTTTTCCAAGGCAGGTGGTTGGTTGAGATGGATGGACCCCTATATATATATACTATATAGAAGACATCTTGGGGGTTGCGCCATCTATTCTCAATCCACTTGTAGACTATAGACTCTCATGTACATGTCCCGAACTCAGTTTTGTACCGAAAGTCTCTTGGAACCAGCATGGCATTTGATGTCAATCGATGCCGCGGGTTGGGGGGGTTAGATATGAGGCTATTCAAGGCATGCATGTTGGTGGACTGATGGTGATGTTGGTGCTGGAGAACTGTGAAAAGAGAAGCCCGGACCGCCTAGTGGGCCCGGTGACAGCGGGAGCCGGTTTCGTCGAGCGGCGAGCCGCTTCTCCAAAGCCCGTGCTACCTCAATGACCTGCTGGATTCATCTGGATGCCATCGCAGATACAGACGGGCAAGCTGGTTTGGGTTCCAAAAAACATGTATTATTTGGTCTATTTGGCACAAAGGGCTCACCCAATGCTCACCCAATGCTCACCTGCCTTCCAGGAGTTCATCCTTTTCATGATGGAGCAGGCCACAGTTGGGACCCGGATGAGAGTGACAGAAGCAGACGTGGAATCCACCAACAGAATCCAGTCCAGCAAGGAGAGCGAAAGGACCATCCAAAGGTTTGCTGAATAAATATCTATTGACACCCCTATGTTCCGAGCATTGTAGGACAGCATGCCTGTTGGTACAAATGATATGACAAGTTCAAGTAAAAGAACAGAAAAACCTGTACTGAGAGGTTTCTGTATTCTTCGCATGTCCACGTTGCCAGAAGGATACTCCACTTTAAAACAATAAGATAAGGAAGAGCATCGTAAAGCGATGACCCTGCATATGGGTGATGCCTATGTTTCTCATCTAAAAGGTTTGTCTGCATATAAATCGATGCTTGTGCCAAGCACATCCAAGCACATAACGATAACACATGCAATGCACATTGCACGCGAATATACTGTACAAAATCTGTGGCTAGTCAAAGCACAGTAAAACGAGAAGGAAGAATCAACAACGATAGAACTAAGAGTTCCGTAGGGAAAGGCAGAGGGGTTTGTTGGCAGATGCTCAATGATTCTCTTTCAAGTTCATTGAAGGTTCCTTGGTTCATGGTTCCAGGGTTCCATGAGTTTTCCACCATTCTTGCAGGTTGGTGTGATATTACAGATTACTGGATTCGTATTTCTCTCGCCTTTCCGAAATGAATGAAGCACCAACGATCTCGGGCTGGTCTGTCTTCAGACCTGGGCCTCCGGCACTCACTTGGAAGAGCATACATGTAGGGCGGCCCAGTGGCCCGTGGATGGACCCAACGGGGGTTATACTCCGTGGGCCGTGGAGTGTGGCTGAAACCACCGCCGCGTTGGAGTGTAGGCTGGATCGCGGTTCCGCGAGAAATCTCAGGGTTTTGCAGGGGTGCCAAGTGGTTGATCGACCTCTTCTCAGCCAAAAAGGCCGAGTCACCGTGTTACATCAACAAAAGACTCGTCCGTCCGAGGCTCTCCACACGCTGTGCGCTTCAATGAAGCCATCCTGAAGCAGAGGAGACCGCCCATGGGTGAAAATAATCCGTTTGGAGCCCACACGGTGAATGCGAGGCTTTCCATCTCGGTTTTCCATTTTTGGGGTCACCTGAGATGAGGAGAGCCTGGATATTGACGGTAATTCGGGTGCCGGATGGTGGTGCAGAATTTGTTCCAACCCACGACTGTGCCTTTTTGCCTGTGGCCCATGCATACACATGTTTGCGCCGCCTGATCGTTTTCCACCTGTGTCTATGCGGGTGCGAACTCGCCGAAGCCAACCCAAAGCAAGCAGAATGGATGGACTACCGTGGATTGAGGGCAAACTAATGGATATATATATATAGTTATAGTGATATGTTGCAATACCATATAATAACAAACTTGAAGGATGTGCTTGTTCTTTTGTTCATGTTTGTCCTTCTCTGCTTCGTCCACCTGTTGCACCGCGGAAGCCGCTCCTTCATCGCTCCACCCTGGCTCCGCCGGTGGACGGCTCCATCGCAGGATGCTGGTCACTGAGCCCAGCGTGAGCATCTTCGGGGAGCCCCTGAGCAGCACCCAGCTGGCGGAGCTGGGCGCGGAGGCCGGGCGCTGGATCGATTCCGCGGAGCTGGGCGTGCTTGGCAAACGCCATGAACTTGCGCGAAAGCAGAGCCATGGGAGTCCACTGAGCTCGCTAAATCCTTGAGCGACGATCTACTTGCAAGACACCAAGCAAAACGCAAAAAGTCAAAAAGCGAGAAAAGTCAAAAAGTCAAAAAGGTAAAGGATCCGAAAGCACGCAGCGAGACTTTTCGACTTTTCGAGACTTTTAGACTTTTCGAGACTGTTCGAGACTTTCTGACTTTTCGACTTTTTGATAATACTTCTCGAATCTTTTCGACTTCGAGATTTTTGGACACCAGTCACATGCCGTGCCCTTCAACAAAAGTCTAGCAGAATTGATCCAAACGTTGCTTTTGCATGCTTTTGCTCCTACAGCAAAAAAAAGGTATAGGTTGCTGTTTTCCAGACATCTCCAGCCGTGTCAAAGTGAGTCAGTCTCGAGCCTTCAAAAAAGAGACGCCCGCCAAAAGGACCCGGCAAGCCCCAGGACCTTTTGGCGGGTGACTCTTTTTATCATCGTTGCCACTTTTTATGTGAAAGAACCACTCAGTTAACCAGGAGGAGATCCTCATCGCTTTTGACAGACAAATGTTGCGAAACTTGTTTGCAGGCCTCCGCACAAGAAGCCGCGGAGGCTACGCTACATGGCGAAGAGGTGTGATTTGCATTGTGAGTTGTGAGCTGGTAGCTGCAAACTAGCTAATACCAAGACAATATACTCTAGGCAATATAAAACGACGTCACCGACGTCACCTGAAATTAACGAGCAAGCTGAAATTAAGGTATATGGTCATACTAACATCACACACACACACGCAAAACACACACACACACACACTTCATCGACTTCACAGTCCTGGCAGAGATTTTGGAGGCGCGGGCGGGCGTGGGCACTGGATCTAGGACTGGATTTGCATGGGGAAGAGGATGTCAGTCAGTTGGAGTTTTGCTTGAGTTTTCGGGCTCGAGTTTGCAAAAAAAATAAGAAGTCATGCCTCACCTGCTCACTCTCCACACCACTAAAAAACACTGCCCAATTTCGAGGTCGGGAAGTTTTGAAGTTCTTTTAGTTGTGCCCCCCATGAAGCGGCCCTCCAGCCATGATGAGTGCCCAACAACACCTACGGACCGCGTTCGGCCAAGCGTGTTCCCTAGCCCCAAAGCCTCTCAGAGACGGACCATTCAGCCAGATCTTGTGGACGGAAAAGATCCTTGGAACTTGAAGTAGTGATGGTTTGGTTGTTTTCCCTTTCACACCCAACCTGACTGGTTCTTTCCTGGCCAAATCGTTTTTGGGCCTAGTTCGCCGAACTAGGATTTGAGGCCTGGCGGCCTTGAAAGTGGATTGTTGGGGCTTTATTAGGTTGTAGCTCGGCAAACTACGCTGGGAAAAATTGGTTTTGGCTAGCTTTCCTTTGCGTGTTGTCAAATTTGTCTTGAAGCAAGATTTTGGGCCAACGAAAGGAAACAGGAGGGGGGCAAGGGGAATCATAAACTTTGCCGAGCTCATAGGTGAAGCATGTGGTCCTAACGCGAGTTTGCTTCACTACAGGGGCTTGTTTCAAGTTAGTTGTCGGGTTTCCCCATCTGGGCCTGGAAACGAAGCTCTCCTTTTCAGAAGGGTCCCCAAAAACGATTTCGGGCCTAGTTCGCCGAACTAGGATTTGAGGCCTGGCGGCCTTGAAAGTGGATTGTTGGGGCTTTATCAGGTTGTAGCTCGGCAAACTACGCTGGGAAAAATTGGTTTTGGCTAGCTTTCCTTTGCGTGTTGTCAAATTTGCATGTACTAGCCAAGCTGAGGAAAACACCCAGTCAGAGGAAATGGTGGTCTTGCACTTGGTGTCGCGGACCTCAAGCAATAGTTTTCCCTCCCTGGCAAAAATCCATTGTGCTTGCTGAGCTGGCTCTTGATCTTTGTACGAACGACCAAACTTATTGCTAGTGAACAAACTACACGAACAAAAATTGTGTGAACCACAAAAGACCCACTGCAATCGCTCCAGTTCCACTAGCCAGAGCCTTCTCGCGCGCAGGTGGACACGTGGCTTCAGCTTTGGTCGCCCCTGGCTGGCCAGCGTGTTGGCTGGCTGGGGGCGTTAGGGCACAACGACGTCACCATAATTTCGTAATTTCGACGACGTCACTAAATTCAGTTTTTGAATTTAACGAAATTAACCGACGACCCAGGAATTATTTTATATTGCCCAGATATACTGCACGTGCTTCTTGAGGGTAATGACTAAATGGATATCACGTCTAACATAAGTTTATACATAAAGGATCAAAAAGGGCCTTTCTTTACATGACTCAACAACGTGTAGGTTGATGCTTCGCCGCAGCCTTTCATGTTGACTTGGAGCTGTCAGAATATCGATGGTTTAGCTTTCATGATTAGCTCCTGACCGGAAACTGTGTGTGTGAACTGATACAGCCAGCTATTGACGTGTCACTTGTAGCGTCCAACGTCAAGACGGCCGCAGACGGGGCGCACTGTTCGATGTGGCTCGGACGGACCACCACGCAGCATCCGAGCGATGTTGCTCGCTTTGGCTCGCTGTCCACGGCTCCAGCTGTAGGCGTGCCATGGCAGGTTGTGGGTGTCAAGCCAGGAAACAAAGAGTTGCCTCATTTATCCATATATATCCCATTAAACATGCTTGAAAGAACATTACTTATCATGACTTAATGTCTATACTTTCATTATTCAAAGTGGGATCACTAAGATTCATTACTAATCACTAATCGAACAGAGATTCTCAGCACGTCGCAGTACTACTTGAGAAGAATCGCCCGAGAACCCATCCAGAAGATCACCAGTGCCCTTCGATTTGAATTCGTCGATTCGTTCCCTTCCTGGTGCCGTGCATGTGGCCCCTCGGCTCAGCGCATGGCCATAGCTTTGCACCTTGGCAGTCAAGGGATGTGAAGATGTGGCAATTGCTCTTCAGCAGTGGGATTTGAAGATGTCCCTCAGTCACTTGCCCGCACACGTGGTGCCTCACTTCTTGAAGCTCCTTGTGCTCCTTTGGCGGACGGATCTTTGCTTGTGTATGTCACATCGCGTCAGGTAGAATGGCCGAAGAGAACTGTGAGATGCGCGGAAAGGCACCAGAGTGTCAGTCCTAAGTTCTCACAAGTTACAGCTGGGGCTCACCCAGAGATAAAGGTTGACGCACGCCCAGCGAACGTGTTGAGCTACTGTATGTTCCAAAGGCCAAAACGCACCAAAGGGTGGAAGGATCTCCCTCTTGAAGTTCCATGCCCAATCGAATGCACCAAATCGGTCGAACGCAGGCGATCCGTGTAAATCTGGGAGTGGAAGGCCAGTCTGTCCGCGGGCTCCTCAGTTGCTGACAGCTGGCGAGATATGCCAGCTATGTTGGTTGGTTGATTGCAAGGACCGGTGTGGAACGAAACTTTGCATCAAACAGAGGCCTGTGAATTTGTTTGTCAATATTGAGAAGCATTGAGACATGGATGCCAAATTGTGAAACACCATGAGACACGTTGGAAAACAAATGAGAGAGATAGCACATCCTGCCAGCCTACGTCTAGTGATGCTGCCACGAAAGGCTGCCACCGTCGTCATTGTTCAGTGGGCCTCCCCCTCACGCTCTAGGTTTGGGGGGCCTCGCATCAATCCTCAGAATCTTTAGCTCCTTCAAGCATCAACCCTTATCGTCTCGCCAGCCTTTGCTGGACGCAAACATCCCAAGCACTCTTGCTGGACCTTGTGGAACTGGCGTTTTGTCGCTGCACTGACCTTCTGGTCACTTCTGGCTATCCGGGCCGCTGCGCCTGATCATTTACAGACTGCTCATCTACTGTATGTCTACTGAGGTCTTCGGAGAAATGCCAGTAACTGCCTACTGAACATACTGAACCTAAGCCTACCCCAAGCCACAAGGGAGTTCACTGCACAGGGTGCCCTGGCCCTGGAATCCTCTAAGTACCTATAGGATCCTATAGGAGAAATAGTAATCCAAACTGGAAAGGGTAGCTGCAAGACATTGTAGTAACACTGGGCTTTTGATCCATCTTGAAAGATAAGAATAGATCTGGTGCTGGACAAGAAGCGCTGCTGACTGCTTGCTTCATTGATTGCCCTGTGCTACAAAGTAGTGCAATGTACTACAAAGCAACGTGCAATCAACGATCAGACGAAATCGGACGATACCGGAAACGACGGTCCGTGTCATCCGTCGGTCGAACCGTCCGAAACGGTCGCGTCACGTTCGGCGTGGTTCGGGCGTCGCGCCTTCCAAGGTGATCACACTGCGGGATCCGGAGTGGCGTCAGAAGAGACGACACCAGTGCCCAGTGGGTGGTGCCAGGGGAGTGGGGAGATGGCAGGCGCGTGCGAACGCGTGAGAACACCCCTGAAGCATGGAGCTTTAGGGCGCCGCGGCACTCGAAGAAAAAAGAGTATAAAAGGGTTTTCTTTATCATAATTTATCACTGGGTTCATTTGTCTTCTGGTAGTTCCTGGTAGTTGAGTCTTGGAATTCGAATGTTTGAGTAAGTGTTTTGAACCTGTGTGGGCTAGTACAATAACCCCACGCTCAGCATATTGGCCTGCCCCTTAGCACTACCAATGCATTGCTGGCCCAGAAAACGATAAGAGGTAATGGGAGGATACCCACATGACTGGTTTGAGCTCATCACCTCTTGAAGGAAATTGAAAGGAAACGAAAGGAACATGAAAGGAAACACATGCAAAATGAAAGGGACATGAAAGAAAATGAAGGAAAATGGATGCAAAATTAAAGGAAATGGATGCGACATGAAAGGAAATGAAAGGAAAAGATTACATTTGTTGACTTTCGACCAAGGATGCTTTCACACCCACAGAAAGCTGGAAAACTCACATTTCTAGTACAGAGAGCCTGCCGCTGCCCCATGTATGCAATCGCGTCTTCTGATAGTTTATCATTTGTTGCACAAGAGTAACAGAAAGACAAAGCACGCTTGCATGTGGTCTTTTCTAAGAAACTTCGCTGACATCACTGTTGCTCGGTCGCTTCTGAACGGGGTCGCTCGGTGGTGGCCTTGAGACTTGCGACTTGCAGGGCTTTAGGATCTTTAGGGTTTAAGGTTGCCAGGTGATGCAAGGTTTATCAAGATGCAAACGGGAAGGATTCGGAAAGATAGACATGTTTGCACTCGTTCCCACAAAAGCAGGTACCGGCGGCGGAAAGTGAGGCTTTCGGGTGCGTGGGGAGGGATGGGTGATGCGTCGAACGCTGTGCCCAGGGATGAACAATGATGCAAGCAAGTTAACAAAAAAGACATGAGCAACGACCTAAAGGGTTTGTGCGCAAATATTTTTGTGAGAAACTATTTCATTGAAGTCATCCCAACACCTGTAAAGCGATATAGTGAACCCCCGAAAGCGATACCTTCACAATGTACACTTCAATCATGTGATTCAATCAATTCTGTTTCTTGGCTTTGTTTTCGCTTTGCATGAAGCGATACCAAAGCGATGCCCTTGGATGACCAAAATGTGGTCTAGATGAGCGGATCCCCTTTCGTAGCATGTTCGTATTATGTTCACAGTGCCTGTGGAGTCTGCAACAGATGAAGAGCTCTATAAAAAGAACTGCATAGACTAAGGGGGGAAGGGAGCGCGGATGTGTCAATGGAAAGCTCTCTCTCTCTCTCTCTCCGTCTTTCTTTCTTCCTTCCTTCCGCACCCTGTAAAGCGATATAGCGATCCCCAAAAGACCAACATATGAAGTATACCATGGTGTACCAAATTTTATGATAGGCTTTGGCGATCGCTCACATCTTCTTTGCAAGCCCACGGTGCAGAGTAAAAGACAGAAGGAGAGGTTGAGTAGACTCTAACTCCCATTTATATCAAAGACCATGTTTGCATGATTTTTCGGTCCATGCATCACACCAAAAAAGCGCCAAAACGCCCGCCAGGCCTACAGCGATGGTGATTGGCATGAAAGTGAAGCATCTGTGACGTCGCTGGGCGGAAGGACCAAGTCGGGGTGGAAGGACCGAGTTGGGGCCCGAAGTAAGGTGGGCTCAAATTCTTGGAGTTTGCAGTCTCATGTTGCTATACTGTATGTGCATATATACATATCATTATTTGTCATTTCAAATCATGGAATGATATTCAGCTCACTAGACTTATTTGAGCACTTCTGACAGGGGTGGCTACACCCTTGTGACCAATTCCAGGGTTTGGGGGGGGATCATGTGATTGGTGCCACCAAGTCAATAATAATTGAAGTCGTTCAAGAAGACCCAACAGAAACTGATAATGCTGATATTCCACACATGGGTCTCATGGTGAAGGACTAGCTGGAGAGCACCAGGATTGACGTGTTCAATCATGTTCAATGTGTGTCCTGTCTTTGAACTGCTCACGTTTCTTTCGGGATGACGAGATTCTGCCGTGCACGGCATCCGTGAAAAACGCAGATGGACCCAGGTCAGAACCTGAAGACGGGCCTGATGTGGCAACACCCAGCCAAGGCACGTGATGCGTTTGGAAGCGTTTGGTTTCATGTGTTGGGGAGGAAACAGATCAACATTTGGAGGGCGTTGAAGACCTTGTCCCACTGTACTCTGTCCGGAAGGCTAGAAGATTTAGAAGGCAAAGTTGATTTCCAATGTTTAGTTAAAGCGTTTGGAACCGAGAAGGCCCCTTTGCAACCGAGAAGGCCCCTTCCTTCGCTTCCTTGGCCAGCATCCATCCAAGCCGCTGCACGTACACGGCTCACGAGGCTCAGAAAGATATACAGAGGAGTCTGTCGGCACAGCGTCGGAAGTGGATGTGGTTGGTGATCACATAGAGCCGGTGGCCAGCAACACACCCGACAACGATGCTGTGAGTGAAGCAGATGTGGAAACTCCGGCCGAAGTACCTGCTGAAGCGGAGGTCCAGATAGATGTCAACGTTGCGAGTGCGCTAGCCGCACATGCGGTTGAAGTGGAGGAGAGCGCTGACGAGTTGCCCGACATCGAGGAGAGCAGCGAGCAACCCCGAGAAGACCAGGAGCAAGGTACGAATGCTATGGAGAGTCCCTCGGATGTACTCGGTTATTCCTTTTGATGTCACATGTGTCAAACATCGTCAAACAAACACAGTCAAATAATGAGTCGACGGGTGATCATCGGTCACATTTTGGGGGATGACTTATGTGGACATGGGATCTATGCCGCTCCTATGACCCACACCAACACAATCGATTCCGCTGCTGAATCAAATCGCCAACTGGTGGATGTCTCCTCTTTGCTCAGGTCCGATCGAGGTTGAGCCTGAGGATCCTCAAACTCCAGCTGAGGATGAGGACGAGCGAGTCCCGGGAGAAGCGGAAGACGAGGACAGCGTCCTTTTTCGCTCAGTAATTTAATCCGCCAAGAGAGGAACATGAATTCCAATCTAATTCTCAATGGTCAGTCAAGTGAGAACAAATTGTTTATTGCTCTCCATCAAAACTGTGAATGGGGGTCAGAGTCTTTCTTGATGGAGAAGTGAAACACACCTGGGTACTTGGTGAAAATGTATGGATAATTATACATAATTATGGATAATTAATGATAATTATGATATGATGGATATGCTGTGTTTATACGTGTGTATGTTCCCCAAACAGTGTGGACACACTTAGGAGTTCTTACGGTAGGGGTTAAGCACCTGTGCTTAGATCGCTGTGCCGCGCGGCCGTGTGCGGCTAATTCGCTGCTATTTACGGTACATTCATGTCTCTCGAAATCCTCGACGTGCTTTTCGACTGCGCAGGCTCGCAAAATCTGGGTGTCCGCGGCGGGTGCTTCTAACGACTGCGCTCTCGTTGTGGTGCCGTGCGCATTTTCGCACATGGTGGTCACTTTTCGTGGCAGGCGCAAGGGAAACCTCATGTTTTAGTGGTCTAAAGTCGACTTTTAGGGCTTGGAGCGGCTTTACTTCGAAGTGCAGGCTTCGTGGCAGGTGCGGCACTTTGGACATGGTGGTGATCTTCGAGGAGCTCTGATTTCGTGACAGGTGCAGTGAATCGTGACTTTTGGACAGGTGGTTTGTTTGCAGATTTCGTGGCAGGCGCAGCACTTGGTGAACCTCGAGGTGCAGATTTCGTGGCAGGCACAGCACTTTTTGTGAACCTCGAAGTGCAGATTTCGTGGCAGGCGCCGCACTTTGTCCTCTCAAATGCTCACCTCTCGCTCTCAAGCACACTCACACTCACACACTCAGTCTCACACCCACACTCTCACTCTCACTATCTCTCACTCACACTCACACTCGCACTCACACTCACACTCACCCACTCACTCTCACTCACACTCACTCACTCTCTCACTGTCACTCACACTCACACTCACTCTTACTCACACTCACTATCTCTCACTCACACGCACATTCGCACTCGCACTCACCTACTCATTCTCACTCACACTCACTATCTCTCACTCACACTCACATTCGCACTCGCACTCGCACTCACCTACTCATTCTCACTCACACGCACTCACTTTCACTCTGACGGAACTGAATGCCACATGCCACACGCCAGCCTAGGAAACCCAAATCCTGAAAGGCCCAGGAAAATCCTGAAGGGGCCTGGTCTTCAAAAGGAAATGGTCCAAAAGCGCAAGTCGAGGTCGAGGCGACAGGCTGACGACGGCCGCTCACATCTGCAGATGCATTAGCGCTTTACCAAAAGATTAAAATGCGCAGGTACGTCCAGCTGGCCAAGCTGGATATCCCATTTCACTGGTAGCTTTGTTGGACACAGTCCCAGTGAAATGCTGTGTCCCCCTGCGGAAGAAGAAAAGAAATCAATCCAATTGGATCCCTGTGATTACAAGGGGCACACACACACGCCCCCCGAGGGCTGGCAAAATTAAGGCTAGGGCGAATGTGCAAATGTGCACGCAGCAAGGACAAAAGGATGAAGACATGAGAAGGAAGACGAGACGGGACAAAAGTGTGTGTGGTTGCGATGAAAGAGAAACCAAATGCACAGGGACAACCGATGAAACCTCATTGTCGAAACCTGGGCGACCTGATACCTGAGTTAGAAGTAGACGCGCGCGTACACACTAAGGCCCGGACCGTTGCACGCGCAAAAGAACGAAAGGAGTGAGATGAAAGGACATGAAGCAAGGGAAGACATGATCAGAAAGAGGAAAAGAAGTGTGTGAAGGGGAAAGGATGAAAAGGGAACCAAATTGGGGGGCACGGGACCCGATGAACCCAAACCTCATTACAACGACCTAGGAAGACCTACCTCGTTAAAGTGTATACGCTGTGTGTGCACCTGAGAGTGCGACAGACTCCAATGAGTCTAAAAGAACTTAGGTCGCTCTGACCACGGTGAGGCGTTAAGCCAGCTTGGACCGCTGCGGTCACGTAAAGGCATGAGCCATCTTGGAATTCAATAATCCGACAGGTCTTGGCAAATAACTTTGCATAAGCCTCCTGCTGTCCGCTTTGAACACCTACGTTCCCAGGCAAGGGGAACAATGGACAAACCCCCGTTTGACGGGTCCACGGGAGGCACTCTACGGGCTCATCCCGGGCTGGCCGAGGCCAGACACACTTATGGATATGCGTACGGAACTGAATGCCACATGCCACACGCCAGCCTAGGAAACCCAAAAAAGGAAATGGACCCAAAAGCGCAAGTCGAGGTCGAGGCGACAGGCTGACGACGGCCGCTCACATCTGCAGATGCATTAGCACTTTACCAAAAGATTAAAATTCGCTGGTGCGTCCAGCTGGCCAAGCTGGATATCCCATTTCACTGGTAGCTTCGTTGGATACAGTCCCAGTGAAATGCTGTGTCCCCCTGCGGAAAAAGAAAAGAATTCAATCCAATTGGATCCCTGTGATTACAAGGGGCACACACACACACACCTCACAAACACACACTCACACCCACTCACTCTCACTCTCACTCACACTCACACGCACTCTCACTCTCTCACTCACTCTCACTCTCACTCTCACTCTCACTCTCACTCTCACTCTCACTCTCTCTCTCTCTCACTCTCACTCTCACTCTCACTCTCACTCTCTCACTCACACTCACACTCACACTCACACTCACACTCGCACTCACTCACACTCTCACTCTCTCACTCACACCCGCCCGCTCGCTCGCTCGCTCGCTCGCTCACTCACACTCACTCACTCACTCACTCACTCACCCACACTCACACTCACTCTCACTCACACTCACACTCACTCTCACTCTCACACTCACACTCACCACCACCGCCACCATCACACGATCTCCACCTTCATCAACGCCATCACCTTTGTGGACCCCCAATGCGTCTAGATCTCTAGACTTTTTGCTGCTACACCTCTAGAATTCACACGCCCCTGTCGCTTTGGCTTCTTAAAGCTCCCTATACTCTCCCTAATCTGTCACACTGGGTTTCTCTCGTTCAGGACGCTCCACAGGAGGATCCGGTGGCCGAGGTCGACCCCGAGGATCCAGTCACCGAGGAGGGCTATACCTCCATGGAGCACTCGTACCATGCGTCCGACGAGGGCGCGGACAGCGAGGCCTCCGACGATCCGATGGATGAAGAACAGGAAGCGTCGCAGGAAGCACTGAAGGGTGAGCTGGCTGAGAAGGAGGAGGAACACGACAAGCTGGCGTCACAACTGAGGCAGATGCAGCTGGAAATGGAAACTTTACGAAAGATGCTGGAGCAAAACCAGCAGGAGTTGGCGAATTCCAGTCAGGAGTGGCCCGGCCACTCATGTTTCGAAGAGTGTTTGGGCATTGAGTCATTTACTGTAAGTCCTTGATTGGACAAAAATGTTTCTTTGATTCTGACGGGATTCTCATAATCAGAACATCCTCAAAGATCATGAAGGATCCCATTTGGGGGGAATTGAGATCACGAGAAGATACAAGAAGACCCTATTCTTTTAAAGGAAAATTCAGCACCAAAGGTTTGAAGGGCTTTGGGCCTTGGGCCCAAATCCTTTCTCGGCACCATGATGAGACATTCGAGAGGATGCTCACGATGTTTGGAGTCATATCCAACTATGTGATGTGCACATAGAGAGACGGAGAGTATGTCAGTTACAAGTTCACGACAGTTCATATAAGTTCCAATATCACTTGTGGTATCATTCATTAAGAAGACGTGGAACCCGCCACACATCCCATGGGATTTGAAGAGAAAAGTCTCCCCTTCTTTGCGGTTTGCAGGAACTGGAGAAAGCGCGAGCTGAGCTCAATGACTTGCGAAAGCAACAAAACGAGTCTGCAGCGGCATCACAAGCGGAGCGGGAGGCCTTTCGACAAGTCGCAGCCAGGCAGCAATAGATTCGAAGGAGTAAAATATGGTACAGTAGATTCGAGGTGTGGGCATTGTATGTGAATAATATAGTTTATCATATATAATAGTTCAAAGGAGCGCACGGCGCACGATCCTATTGGAATTGATGGAGGGTGTTTGGGGTGGAATGTGAACATCTCACTTTTATGAAGTGGTCGGTGGTTCTCGCATGTGGCTGATGTTATACATATAATGAAATTACTGTATATTATATATATAGTTATATATATATAGGCTGAAGTTCAATGGTTGTTTGTAGGCTGATGGATCCTGACATTAGTAAAGTGAGTCAGCCTTAACCACATCAGTCTTGCTCAGTGCAGTGATTTGTCATTGCCGTTGCTTGGTATTGTGGGATGAAAGGAGAAGCTGATGAAAGACAAGAAAAGCCTACGAGAGCAGCTTGAGAAGATGCAAGAGCAGATGGTACGGATGGTTCCTTGGTAGCGAGAGCTCGGGACTCTGCGGGACTCCGATCAAAACGCGTGCATTTGGGAAGCTCATATGCTACCAACATCGTCCGAGTCTAGAGGATCACCAACATTGTTTGAGCTCAACCACCAAGTGTTCTGTTAATTGTTTGTCCGATGCTGATCAGCCCTCTTCGGACAGCCCCAAGTAGGAGCAGCCTTTCGAAAGACATCTCCATGCAAAATTCAAGTTTGATTACGTCCTGGTTTGGATTTCCCAAAGCTGCCACCATTGCCATAATGTTCAGTTCTTCCCCCATCCCTCGTGTGCGTCCTGCCCCATCTCCACCTCCCGAGGAGTCCTTGCAGCAGCAGCTGGAGAAGCGCCTCATCGCCACGGAACGGGAGCGCGATGCGGTGAAGCAGCGCTTGCAGATGGACTCCTGGAAGCCACATCGGACCGGGAACTTACGTAGACGACCTACGAACACAGCGCACCAAACGGAAGCCACAACGTGCCAAGACGGAAACCGGTACGAAAAGGCGAAAGAAGAAAGGCTTTTTCAATCCAAGTGGATGAAGCACTTGTACGATGGGTGAACAAAAAATCGAATTGCAGATCAAAGCCATTCTTGAAGACACCCATTCAACACCTGTTTTGATCCTTTTTGCGAGTCCCAAGATCTGTGTCAGCGGAGTTCCGCGCTCTGAGCACTAGCCAGCCTTAGATTCTGCCATGTTGGTAGGATAGAAGAAGCTGAAGCTGCCCGCCGAAGGACTGGTGTGTGGGTCTTAGATCAGACTGACGAGGGTGACCGGGCTGAATCACTTGGGCCCTGATTGGAGTCACGTTTGCTTCAGTGCTGGATTGTGGATGATTCGTCAGGATGTTTGCTGATTAGCTTGCGATAGAGCAACAGGTTTCCACTTTTATGTGGTCTGCACGGTCGAGGCGAGGTCTACACATGAAACTTCCTCACGTCGGTACGATGTTGTGTCCAGCCATCAACCTGAGTTATTTATGCCTTTCCCGGACGTAACCACACCGCCAAATCGAGGGAGAGTTCCGTGTGCTGGAGAAGCCCGTGGACCGCATGAGACGGCCCAGGCCAGTGCAGCCGTGCGACCCTGTGTGTTTTTTGCTCTGGGCCGATTGAAGAATATCATACTAATATGACTGATATATACTATATAACTATACATAGTATATATATATGATATGTAAGGGTGTTTATCTATGTCACGTCTATCTTTCACACCTTTGCTGCAGTTCTACGAACACGTACTGCATGTTGATGCCTTTCCACCACTTTGTCACATTTAACCTGTCACCGCGTGAAAACCTTATCCTTTGTTTTGCACGTCACAGAAACCAAATACAAGAACATGTTCCTTGGGATGAGAATGATGTTTGGGTGTGTAATTACTGGAATAGGTGCCGCCTGGCCAAATGAAACTCAAGACCACCAAGCTATTGGGCCAAGAGGGTCTCTCTATCTCAATACACATGCCCACCATGTTTCTTTTGGTAAGACAAGATAAGCTCCAAATTGAAATTCTTGGGCGAGTTTCTCCCCTACTTGGCCCTCCTACCTTTTTGTGTGTGTGTGTGTGTCTACTAAGCCAGTTCGGGACCCCCTTTCCAGATGACAAGCCTAATTCCATACCTTCATATGTTGCAGACAATTCTTCTGTGCTAAGGAGGAACCTCCTATCCAGCAAATTTCTGTAGGAACAACCTTTGATACAATTCGAATTTCTGGAATAGGATCAAGTATCCCAAGAATGCTTGAGGGAAGATAAATTGTCCATTTGTTTGGGTGCCTTTCTTACTGTATTGAAAGATTCGCATCGACAGAATTCGCAATCCATGTCGAACGTGCCCGGACACCCCGAAAGGCACGGCGCACAGCAACGGGACGTTTGGCGTTTCCAGCCACGGCAACGTGGAGCTGCTTGGATGATGGGGCTCGGCTCGGCAGTGTGTGGCAGCCCACGGGCTTTCAGCATCGGGTCTGACCTGAGCTTGGGAGGGCTGAAGGGGGAATGGTGGGAAGGGGTACGGTGAAAAACTGCTCCCAAGTCAGTGACTATAAGTGACTATAAATGACTGACGGACCCTAAAAATCCCTAAACCACATACTACATCATCGTGTTGGGAGGGTGGGACCCCCTCGGAGAATGGATCAACCAGGATGATAGCACATCAAACGCCTGAGCCGCTGGATGGAGTCGTCAGAGGCACCGGACTCCGACGCACGGGTCTTCCGACGCACGGAAAGAAGGCCTGTAGAGCTTCCCGTCGGCATAGACCTTCGCCTCCGGAACTTCGATGTCAAAAGAAAGGCAATGGAGGAAAACTGGGGGAACATGTGGGGCCACATACATCAGTTCCCAATTAGTGTATTTGTTTCTTTTATATACAATGGTTCTCGAGATGGTTGCTTGTGGCAAGCTCCAAGCCATGAACATCGATCCATGATGATGAGTTCATTCGAGAAACTCCGGGCGGTTTCCGGGACCACAGTGCTGCCTCAGGCCTTGGTCTTGCGGATGCGTCCAGGTGGAGACCGGAGCGGTGGATTTTTGGGCCTTGGAGGGCTTCATAGCGAGCTCCACGTCGGGCGTGGTAGAGTTGCAGTGGGAATGCAGTGGGGACTGTTGAACGATTCACCATTTGGGGGGCTCCAAACATTGATCTAATATGATCTAATTGTGTCCAAGTAGGACCAGGCAGTTGCCTTGCAAGGCGCTGAGCTGGAGCTCGTATTCGGTGGCCAACCCATCGACCAATGTCGTGTTCGACTTGACTCGCACTCGACTCGCTCGACCTGCCAGGTCTTGACTCGCCACGCAGCAACCAGAAGTTGTATCCTGGTGACAGTTTCGTGGTGTCAGAGCAGCGGAAGGGTCCGGTGCCCGAGGAATTCTGGTGACCAAAGGGGGTGGCGGGAGGAGACCGGAGACCGGAGGAGATGGGTAAGCGAGCTCCCGACGTTTCCGAGCATCAGATGGCATTTGGGGAATTGTTCATGATTCTTCTAAACTTCCCGAACACTTGCTTCTCCTAGGTTCTTCTTCAAATAGATGTTCTCTTCTCATGGCTTCACTGAAAGAGTGGCAGAGACATACACGACTGCAACATGTTTGCAAAAAAACTCAGCCAGGTCAAGGCAAGTAGGCTGACGGTCCTGTAATTCTCCCAGATATGTTCGAGTTTGAGGTGCATTCACACCAGTTTGCCCGCGCAGTTTTACTCCCCCTTTCTTTCCGCTTTGCAACTTGATGGGATGGTTCATACCGAGAATGCAAGAATGTCATGACAATCAATAGCATGCCTCCAGCTTTGTAAGGGAACGAGCATGCATCAGCATCATCCCCCAGCAGCACAAACCTTACAAACCACGTGTTCAATCTTGTTCAAAGCTAATTATATACCAATTCCGCAGGGTGATGCGGTTCCGGCACACCACGGACTTCCCTGGGCAACAGTCACCAGTCCATTTCAAGCAAAGGCAAAGGATAAAAAAATTGTTGATTGTGAAGAAAGTAGTTGAGGTCCCTTGGCATCGGCGTCTAAACGTTAACTTTAAACAGATTGATTGATCAATTGAAAACTTGATGTCGAGATTTTGTTGGAAGGTCCAAAGCTTACCTGGTATATCCTGGCATCATGTTCGGCGCAATCGATCTCGTGGTGGTAGCAAAGTCATTTGTGAAGCTCAAAGGAGGGTTAATCGAGATGGGCCGTGCCACTACGTCGGACTGTTGCATCGCATTCAGATCTTCACCCTCCTCGCTTCGTCCTGCAGAACCATCCGTGAACTGTACCGAAGCATGCGAGGAAGGCGACCCAAACGCATGCGGGACCACCATGCGTGACCAAAAGCGCCATGCGCGACCGCCATGCGCGACCGCCATGCGCGATGGGTGAGGTCCTTCTGACCTGGTCTTCTTGAAGTTAGCAGATGGTCGGGGCTGGGCAGCTGCCTTGGAAGTTGTTGCGCAAATGACTTGTGGAACTTCCAAGGGTGTGACTTCATGATTCTTCATAGCAAAAGTGCTTTTTACTTGGCTTACTTAAAACAAGAGTGCGAGAGGGGAAGAGGTGTTTGATCATGTTTGATCACGGTCTTTTTTTTACTTTGGGCTGACTGCTTTCGAGTTTGATCGGTTACTCAGGCCTTCAATCGAAGCCCGGATGTGGGCACGCTCTGTGTTCCGCAACTCGTTTTGCAATTGGCTACCGGATGCTATCGGAAGTTCAAAAAGCTGAAGGCTGTGGCCAGCAGATACCAGCAGTATGGGACCCCAAAACCACCCCGTGACAAAAAAAACGACGTTAAATATTCTGGCACACCATTCCGGGGTAATGCTCGAAGTGAACTTCCGATTCTTGGGAGGACTGGCCATGACTGGCCTCATGGCCTCGAACACGGCAGCGACAGGCGACCTGCTCGAAAAGACCGTCTGGCACCTTACAGGCTACCTGAGGGTGCTCGTTTGCCTGGAAAGATCCGCCAGGATCAGGCTGGTTGGATCGGTGGAAAGGACAGGCTTTGTCGGGTCTTCGATGAGGTGGGGATGGGATCAAAGAGGATCAGGGAGATGACATCCCTGAAAGAGTGCATTTTGGGGGTGGCGTGATGAGGTTGTGCATGAGATCGCCGGCCCAGGTAGACCAATGTTGTTCATGTTTTGGATATGAGCTTGCGCAGCTGGGGTATGTTTGACCAGCTAAAATAAGACATGAGCCATCAAGTCAGGCAGCTTTTAGTGGAATCCCCCACCGAAATATAGCTCCTATTGGGAGCCGCGGAGCGCTCCCAATCCGCGACACACGGCCACACACGGCCAGAGGCCCTGCGCGCCCGCCCACGCCTTCCGGCCATTCCGAAGCCCGTGAGGGATTCGCGGGCGCCATGGCACTAGCGCCCGCAGGGGGCGCCATGGCACCCGGCCGAACTCGGCGTCGAATTCACCGCGCAGCAGAACGAACAAGCTAAACGAACCGTGTTGAAATCAAAGGAACAAGAACTGACCTAGGCCCTAGGCTTGGGATTCGTTGGGTAAGAGCATGTGCAAGTATTATGATACTCAGACTCAGACAAGGCCGCCCTGTGAGTTCCACACAATCCAATGTGAGTTCCACACAATCCAAGATGCACCGCTTGCATTGGCTTGCGCTAGAAGCGCAGCTTTGCATGAAGATCACACAGCGAAGTTGGTGAATCTTCAATTTGTGGCACGTACCACTGGAAGAATAACTTCCACGTTGCGGCACAACGAAATTGTGACGCAACCTTGTACGTGCCCATGAGAAGTTGCATTCACTTCTCTCATTTTTGATGCCAAGAAGCATCGCAAGAGCAATCATCGTTTGAAACTGTTTGCGTTTGATGAGCTTGAGGGGGTTCCAACGATACTGAGAAATGTTTTACAGTACTGTAAAGGGTTGTAGAACATGACCCCCCCTACAGTGTAGAACATAACCCCCTTGGTTGGCATCGTTTGTTGGTGCTCCAACATTACACTGTAGAGGCCAAAACTCTACGCACCTCCAGCAGTGCTGGCAGCGCGGTCGCCGGTACCTTGTCGGCGCAGGCGAGGGTCTCAGGTCTTTCGTTTTGGAGACAGCTCCGTTCAAGATAGCATGGCGGAATTGGATGGAATTGGAGAGTTTGGATTTGGCCCTTTCACGCGAGGTTGTGTTTAACATACTGTGACGAGGGAAGTGGAGAGTTTGGATGAGTCTATAGATTGGACAAAGTTTATGTCGGTTGGTACAAGTAGCAGGAAAAGTAACATTGAGCTCTCAGCAGGTGCGCATTTTGATTGTCCATTTTGCGGCAAGTAGAGAAATGTAGAGAACAGATTGGATTGTGGCTAGAGGTTTCGTTTTCTTCAACGGAGCAATGTTGTATAAAGTGGTGCAATCACAGTCGACCTTGCAAGCTCCCTACTACCCTCCCCCCCGCATTACTTGTTGGACGGAATTTCTTGTGCCAGGCGGAGCAGTCTTTGCACTCCACGAGATCTTCCACTCCGTTGCAAAGAGCTGACAGCAGGTTCTGTTTGGTCAATTCCCGGGCGTGTCACGCGTAGCGTCGTGAAAGGCAAGGGCCCCCAAGAGAGTTCTTTTCAATGGGTATCAATGAATGGGATTGCCCTACTTAATTGCCAAGTGGTTCAACATTGTTTGACCGTTTCATGATGTGGCACAGATTTTGCGGTGACAAATCAAAAAGGATCGACGGTACAAAAATAATGAACTGCAGGTAGGAAGCCACGGCCGATTTTGTCAAGAAGCCCATAAACCCAACAAACGATCAATAGCCAAATGAGCGCGTTGTTCCTGCAGGTGGATGCTTATTACTTCGAGCCAGACAATGTCACACATCCCTGGTGGTCTTTCCCCTAGAAAATGGTAGGGGTAGTGGTCCTTTAGAAGAAGTTCCTTCTTTAGAAAACCAGCGCGCCAGTACAAACACAGAAGTTGTACCAGGTAGTTCTATAGAACATGGCCTCTAGTTTTCAATCTTCATTTTCTAGAGACTTTTCGTTTGAAAAAAAAGAATATATAATATATAAACGTTTTTTGTCCACAGGTAAACTGGACGCTGGCAGGGATGTCGGTGTGCCTTTTCAGCTTCCAGTGTTCATTAAAGTCTTGCAGTTTTCGTGCTCATATTGTCCTGTCCATGGGCAAAGTCCGCATCATGCAGGTTACCCCATCAAGTGCAATCAAACAATTCAAAATCAATGTGCTAAAGCTTCTCGATTCAATGCTGTATTTGAGAGCTTCAACAAACCACATCGCAAAACTGATACCCAACCAACAGCCCCTTGCTGAGCCCGGTCGGTTCTTTTGTTTGAGCCTGGCCAGATCGTCCGTGCTGAGAGCTTCTGGAACGTTGGCCCTGAAGAAGTAGCGGCGACTTTTGGAGCTTCCAAAAGGGATGGCTCCAAGGCGGCCGAGGGCTGAAGGATCGACCCCTCTGAGTCCCAAACGAGGACGCCGGGGATCAAAAAAGAAACGTGTGAAAGCGGTGCTTCGAAACAACGGAAGTGCTCCCCTATTGCTTTCTCATGTGAGATGCGACAACAGAACGGCTGAGGCTTTTCACTCACCAAGGTGGAACAAAGCAAAGCAACTCCTGTTAGGAGGGCAGTGTTAATCACGACGCACCGCCAAGGCACCCGTGTGAATGTCGGGCGGCCGAGGTCAGGCGAGAAATGGGCAGGCTCCTGGGCAACGAGTAGGAGACATCCCGTACTGCTGGGAAACGTTGAGGCCCTCGCAGTTGGTTGCGACATGCCAGGAACTGGTTGCAGTGGCAGGATCGCATTGGGCCTGCCATGTATATACCTAGCGTTTCGCCTCTCCCTCCCTCCGGCAGATGCTTTGTTTTCACGATTGGAGCTGGATGATGAGTTTCTGTGCCCCCATCCGCCAAGCCGAGCTCAAGACCTGGGTTTGCACGGGTGAATGTGATCGTTTGCGATCGCCTTGGCCTTTGAGCGTTGCCGGTGGCTGTCGCCTTGGGGTGTGATTTATCAATCTCTCGTTCTTTCCTTTGCTTGAGCGGCTCTTTTGCGGTGCTGGGAGAAATACATACTTAAAACATCTTAAAACATAGCATAAATAACTATATTTATTTATCTATATTTTAATATTAATTAATGTATTTAATGTATTTAAAAAAATAAACAAAAAAAAAACGAATTAAACAAATATACAAGCATGCCCCTATTTATTTCTATTCAAAATCGACGATGATATTATTATAAAATAAGCAATGAATATTAATGAAGGATGTGTTGTTTTATTGGAGGTGAATGGAGGTTTGTTATGAATTTTGAATTTAAACAAATAAAAACAATAAATATGAAATGTATAATATAAAATAAAAATAGAAAGGTATTATATATTTGAAGATTTTTGTTTGATTGTAGATTTTTATTTATAAATGATTGTTTAATTAAATTCGTTATTTTTAAGGATTATTTTTTAATTGAAGAGCGATGATTATCGATTTTAGAATAATGGAAATATATGTATATTATATATTTATGAAAGGTAATCGATAGGTTAGATTTGAGTTTTTTTGGAATGAATGAAATGATATGAAATGAATTAAGGGGTGATGGTATTTAAAAATGAATTTTGGAAAGGATGATTTTAAAAAAAATTAAAATATTATTTTAGTTTTAATTTTGATAGTTATTTTTATATATTTTTATGTATATTCTTATTTTTTTGATGATTTGATTGTTTTGGAATGTTTGATGAAGTGTTGTGTGGCTATTAATTATATATTTTGATTTTTTTATTCGTTGAGATATTTGGTTCTAAATCGAGGGAGTATGATATTATATAGATTTGCAATAGATGTTGAAGATTTTATTGAAACCTCGTTTAGTAACGGGAATGTCTATGCTATCCCGGTATTATCCCGGAACGAAAATCTATGAGGTATGGGCGACATTTGGCTACGATCTAATTGGGGATTTATCTAGATATAAGAAAATTAAGAGGAATTTTTATAGAGCCTGCTAACGGATCTATAACCTTGGTTGCACACAATATTATGGAAAGGACTTTTTGGTATTCCGTTTAGGATTCGACAATAGTTGTTTTAGGAAATGAAGTTGTCGACTATATCTCAACCGACTAGATTAGTTGATTCATTGAATGTGTTTTGTTGGAACGGCCTTTTATTGGACGAATGGGTGCCTTGACTGACACAGACATTGTATGATGTTATTATCTTGCAGGAAACGGGATGGCGCTTTACTAATTAATGGGTATTAGGTGATTGGTACATGTTGCACTCACATGGCCATCGTTCTATTGTTCTTTGCATGGTCCGCCGACGTTTGTTGCGCCCTGACCAGTTGGCATGGGCTGATCTCTGTCTAGGCAGGCTCATACATGTCCGGCTCCATTTAACCTGGATTTATGATGTTCTTTGTATTTACCAGCACTCTTAGAGTTCATTGAAAGATCGTTAAACACTTTTCCATGATAGGATGAAGGTTTTTGAGGCCATCAAACAATGCATTCGACATGTTCCGAAAAGCCATATGTTGCTCCTTGCAGGTGATTACAACACCCCACTGACTGCTGATGCACCCCACGTGCATTCCCATGATCCTAAATATGGTTCGGCCACCCGGTGCGATAAACATGAATTTCAATCTATGATTCGTGAATTGGACCTAGTTGCTGTTCACAGTCAACGTCACTGGACTCCAATGTTTAAACACGACCATGTTTAAACACGGCGACCATTCCAGCCGAATCGACTTCATATTTGCGCGCCGCCATCAAGTACAGTGGACCAAATACCGTGCCCAGGTGCTGACTTGCCCAGGTGCTGACTCGGTTCGAACGGACTGTTGGATGCTGTGCACCGGTGCACCATCCATTGGTCATATCCTTACCCAAATGGTTTGCACCTCCAAGGATAAACCCTCCCATCACTTCGATCGACCTCCATCGACTGAGGCTTGAATATCAGTCATAGACTGAGAATTGGCATTGCTTCGAATCTGAAGTCATGTCCACAGTGCACAAACTCACCACCAAACAGGAGTCACGTGATCCGACTTCCACATATCTCCAGGTTGAACAGGCCGTTCGACAGTTATGCACAACTCATTTCCCACGTGTTAGTCAGCCTCGCATCATGTGCTCCCAGGTCAAATCATTGGCAGCTCAAATGTGGTATGCCAGACGACAATTGTTCCGTTTCCGTTCTGTATCGTTGCAGGCCATCTTCCGGGTTTGGTCATGGGTCATTCGATTCGAGAGGATTCATCATGCCATTCGCCGACAGAGCTGACACAATCGTAGGACTCGATTAAACACTTTCCTGGCTGAGAGTGTCCCACTAGTCCTTCAGAATAGATTGCATGATTGGTACAAGCGAGTGCGTACTCTGTGCCCCAAGCAGACGTTCAGGCGGATTCAGATGTTTGATTTGCATGGTGCACCGATGTCCCAAGCCCAAGAACTTGAACGATTGACCCAATACTTTCAAGCCCTGTTCACGGACACTCAAGC